CGCACTCTCGCACTCTCGCACGCCCGCACGCTCGCACGGCACGGAAAGCACGCACGCAAGCACGCACGCAAGCAAGCACGCACGCACGCACGCAAGCACACGTACGTACGCACGTACGTACGCACGTACGCACGCACGCACGCACCGCTTCCATAACCGGGAAGTCCCCCCAGGTCATGCGGGGTGCCATCAGAGCCGCCGCGGGCCGCGCCCGAGCGCCGACACTCACCCGAACACCTCGGCGCCGCCGGCCACGCCCAGGTTGGCCGAGCTCGGGTTCCAGGCCGAACAGGCCGCCGTACGGCCGCAGCCGGTAGTAGGTGGGGGCGGCGGCAGAGCGCCGGCGGCAGCTCGGCGTCCAGCGGTGGGTAGCGCCCCAGGTCGGCGAACTCGGCCAGGCTCGCCCACGAGCTGGCGCTCTCGGGGCGCGCGCGCGGCGGCTGCGACTCGGGCGGCGCACGACGGTGGGCGTGGCGGCCGGCGGCGGGCCCGTCACCTCGATGCGCGGCGCGCCGCGCGCCGGCACCGCGCCGGCGCCGGCTCGCCGTCGGACCAGCGCAGCGCGGCCGAGAGAAACGGATCGGCGTCAGAGCGGAGCGGGCGCCACCGCGGCGGCTCGGCTCGGTGGCCAGCTGGCCGGCCAGCCGCTGCAGGCGCGGGTGGTGGGCACGCCGGCGCCGTGCCCGTCCGCCGTGCCGCCGTGCTGGGGTGTGCGCCGTTGTCCGAAGTCCGCCGCTGCAATCCACCACGCCGCCCGCGTCCAGCAGTACATGCCGAGGCCGGGTTGCCGGCGGCCGACGGCTCCGCCTCTGCGACGGCCGGACGCGTTCGCCTGGCGCCGCGTGCGCCGCCGCCACTCGAGGAAGTGCGGCCAGCAGCATGCGGTTGCGGCTGCGCCGGAAGCAGGGCCGCTGCCGGTCTCCGACTCGTGCGAGCCGGGCCGGCGACGGACCGCAGCCAGTCGGCGGCCAAACTGCGGCCCGGCGCGGCCTCCTCGCCGTCCGCCGGCTCCCGCTCCGAATCCGGCTCCGGCTCCGGCTCCCGCTCCTGGTCCGGCTCCGGGTCGGCTCCGGGTCCGGGTCCGCGTCTGGGTCCGCCGCCTCGGCCGGGCGGCCCGGCCACGAGATGGTGCCGAAGTCGGGCAGGTACGGCAGCCGCCTCCCGCCCGTACCTGGCCGGCGCAGCGGCGGTTGCGTCACGCGGGACCGGCGACGGGACGGTCACCACCGAGCGACACGGCCAGTTTGTCAGAGGCAAAACTTTGCGGAAAACAGTGCGTACCCAGCTAGTAACAAACAGCAAAAGCGAATGTGGTTTACGTTTTACTAGTGTGCACCCATAAACATTGATCGAACGCTCTCCACCGGCCTTTGTTGGCGAAAAATGTACAACAGCCTAATTACCAACACCCTTTAGCAGCCTGCTTCCGCCACAGGCGTCCCGCTCGGAAGAAGCGCAAGGCGTTCATCGCGGACAGTGCCCACGGCCGACAAACAAACGCAACGGTCCGCCGACCACTCACGGATTCCAGAAGTCGCGGCCAGGCAGGCGACCGCGCACACGCATGAAGCCGGAAGACGACGGCGATGGCGACGGCGACGAGTAGAGGGACGACGGCAGGAAGGCGGGTGGCGCGGCGGCCGCGGCGGCCGAAGGACGGCGCCGAAGACGGTGTCGGCGCCGGAGCCGGCGCGGGAACCGGGGCCGGGACGGGCGCCGGAACCGGCGGCGGCCGAGTCGGTGAGCGGCCGGCTCGCTCCGCGACGGGCCCGGCTGTGGCCAGTCCGGCGGCCGAGGCGCGCGCGACGTCCCGGCGCCGGCCGGCGGCGCGCGCGCCCGCCACACTGCCGGCAGCCGGGCGCGGCGGGCGGAGGCGCCGGCGCCGGCGCCGGCTGCCGCTGGCGAAGCTGCTCCACCGTCAGCGGCTCAGAGCCGGACAGCTGGCGCAGCATCAGCCGCACCTGGCGCTCGGCCGTCACCACCTGCTGCTGCGTCTGGCGCGTCAGCTGGTTGCAGCGCGCCAGCGAGTGCTGCAGCCGGTACACGGCGCAGCGCAAGCTCGAGTGGTTCTGGCGGCCAGAGGCGGCCGCGTCAGGACCGGGCGGAGGTCACCGCGCACCGCACGGGGCACGACCCAGCACCGCACGCCTCCTGGCAGGACCGAAGCGGCTGTGCAACACGTGTACAACGCCAGCAACCGCCTCTCACAGCCACCTCACACAGCCACCGTTCAACATAGACACTGCCAGGCGGCAAGCAGCCACCACGCGACAGCAGACCACTACACAGACGGTCGGCCCCGACACTCCACACACAGCATGGGCAGGCGGCTCGGCACCACAGCCCGGCCCCACAGCGGCGCCGTGCGCCGAGCACTCACCCGGGACAGCCTGCTGGCGGAGCGGGCGTGGGGACGACGCAGCGAGAAGTGCGGTGGCAGCGGCCGCGTGCGACTGGAGCCGGCACCGACACCTGGCGGCCGACGCCCAAACTTGTCATTCCGGACGGGGCCGTCAAAAGGACCGCACGGGAGTGGGCAGCGTCGTAGGGGCCATGGCTCGCGAGTACTGCTCCCAAAAGCTACATCCAAACAAAATCGTTGGCTTGTCCAATCCAAACACCGTTGGCTTGCGGCAAATCTTTCACTGAAAATAAGCTAAGCCACTGGGAAAGACGCTGTTTCACAGCAGCCAAGCTACTCCACCTCCGGAGGGGTGAGCTTCGCCCCAAGAAAGCGTGCACCAGCCGCCGGACAACAACAATCAGGCAGCAGCTTCCGCACAGACAGCGGTCTGAGTTCAGCGAGGCCCGCTGAACTCCGACCCCAAGCTCGCTCCGCACACGCCGCGTCCGTCCGCGGCGCCGAGCGCGCGACCCGGCGGAGCGCCCGCGGCGTCACCTACCGTCCAGGCCGCCGTCATCCGAGGTGTCGTGAGGGCCGGCCGTGTCGGGCGGCGAGTCCGAGTCGGCGCCGTCCTCCGACGAGCGGTGCACCCTGCCGGACGGCGCGAGCGGTGACGCTCCGGGGACGCACCGCGCGGGGATCCGGCCAGCGCCGCCCAACCGTTGGCGGGTGACCGTGACCGCAGTGCCGCGAACATTAGAGAGAGCATGTCCTTCTAGGCGTGATACCCCGTCGAAAATTCATGCCGTGCTCACGCCATATAGCCTTAAAGGGCATCTTGAGAGCGACGCCGACAGTGACATCTCACATATATCCTCGCCAGTCACCATGCACCGTAAATCGTTACAAAGCGTGCCAAACGCACGCCTAAAACCAGCAGCACTGACGGCCCACCGCACGTGCGCCGGCCCCTGGCCCGCATCGGTAATGATCCCGCCACCTCGTCAGCGGGGCATTTGGCGAGCAGCGACAGGGGAGTGGGGCTGACGAGCGGGGGCGACGGCAGGGCAGGGGCGGGGGAGGGCCGGGGCCGGGTGGCCGGGTGGCCGGGTACCGGCGGCGGTGAGCGCCGTCCGTTACCTGGGCGCGGCTCGGGAGCGGAGCCGCGCGCCGCGCCTCAGCACCGACCGCCGGGAGAGGGCCGGCGCCGGCTCGACGGCCGGCACCTCCGGCAGCCGCTGCAGCGAGGCGTACAGCGCGCGGATCTGCTCCTGCAGCGAGCCCAGCATGCCGCGGATGCTCTGCAGCTGCGACACGTAGCTGGCCTGCTGGCGACCCAGCTCCACGCGGAACCTGCAGCACACGCGCCGTCGCCGTCAGCGCCGACCGCGGACACGCCCGGACAGACGGGATCCAGCCGCTTCACACTCACACTCTCCCCGCTCTGTGCCCTCCTCTCTCCCTCTCTCTTCACATCCATATGCTCCTGCTTTTTCTCACTCATCTCTCTATCTCCAGCCGCTTCACACTCACACTCTCCCCGCTCTGTGCCCTCCTCTCTCCCTCTCTCTTCACATCCATCCCCTCCTGCCTTCTCTCACTCATCTCTCTATCTCTTTAACCACCTGCCTTTTCTTTCGCCCCCTCCACCTCCCCAACGGCGATATCCATCTCCCGCCCTTCCTCCCAACGCCTCGTCGGTCCCAACACCTGCTCTGTCGCCATTTCACCTGCACCACCCCTACATATTGGCCGCCCTTCCCTCCCGCTGCCGCCTCTCGCCGGCCCCGGCGCCGCACTCACCGGGTAGCGCGCTGCATGTTGGCCACGTGGGCGGTGATGGCGTCCAGCCGGGAGCGGAACTCTTCGCTGAGTCGGGCCGGCGGCGGCGGAGGAGGCGGCGGCCTGCGCGGCCGGCTGGTCGGCGCCGGCGCCCCCCGGGCCCACGTCCCAGCCGGAAGTGTACGGTCGCCGGCGCACGGGCACCTCCCGCGGGTGGCCAGAGCCCGGCGGCGGCACCGGGTCGGCGCCCTGTCGCCGGCGGCAGGCGCGGGCCCGGTCAGAGGCGGCGCGCGTACACAGAAGGGAGCGAGCACCGACCACACACAGCACGACACGCGGACTCGTAATCATAAACCAACCACCTGCTAACACTTTGAGCGTCACAATTAGCAAACAGTAAGAAACAGACAAGCAAACTCGCAATACACAGGCGGCCGTCACCCAGCGGCCTCCAGGGCATCGCCAGAGCCCGTCATGTCAGTGCCCTGCATCCACCCCCGAGCCCTGTCACCACGCGGCCGGCCGAGCGCCCGGCCGCGTCCCTGGCCACTCACGTGCTCGGGCCGGCCGGCGCCCGGCTCGCCGTCCGGACCCATGTCCGCGATGATGTCGCTCAGCGAGTCCATGACGCCGTGCGCCCAGCTGAGCATCTCGCGCGAGTCGGCCTCCAGGTCGGCCATCAGGTCACTGGGCGCGGCGCCGGCGGCGGCCGCGGCCGTCACGCGGCCCGCGTACTGGCGCGCCAGCTCCAGCCCGGGCGTGCGCCGCCGGCTCCAGGGGCGGCGGCGGCGGCGGTGGCGGGGGCGGCGGTGGCGGCGGAGGAGGCGGTGGCGGAGGTGGCGGGCGTGTAGCGGGCCAGGCCCGGCTGCAGAAAGGCACGGGAGCGGCGTCAGGCGCCACTTAAATGAACACACACGCGCGCACAGGTGCCCGACTACACACCCGGCGTTCGCCTGACGTCACAGACGAGCGGCAGCCCGGTTCCGAGCCGTCCCTCTAGTGCCAGAGCCCAGGTAAGAAACGGCAGACAGGACCGGCCGTGGAAGTCCAGCAGACAGGCTTTCACGGAGGCGTACGGACTAGGGAGAGGGGGGCGATGGATGGGTGTAAATACCACGCACACTCAGCCAGCATAAGTGCACGTGATGTAATTGTTGCACGCATGTTCCTTGTACCCTCCACATCCATAACCGTGCGTAGCGTCCACAATTTGCATACGACGTCCGAAACGACAATCATAAAACCCGTCCCCACCAGGCGGTATGGCGCGCGACACCAGCTTATCTCCCCTGCTGGCGGACCGCCGGCCGCTGGCAGCGGCTGGGCCGAGCGGCCCTCGGCCGCTCACCTGTTGAGGCCGGCCGGCCGGCCGCTGCGAGCGCAGCGACAGGTACTGCGCGTGCAGCTGGTCGTAGCGCCGCGTCAGTGAGCGGTGCACCGACTCGAGCGAACGGCGCGCCGTTGAGGCGGCCAGCGTCGTCTCGGCGGCGCCCGCCGCCGCCGGCGCCCCCTCCGCCGACGCCGCCACGTTGCTGATGGCCGTGATCAGCTTGTGGCCGAGCGGGTCGAACTTGACGTACCTGCGGCCGTGTTCGGGGGGGGGGGGGGGGGAGTCAGCGTCGCCGCTGGCGCCACGCCACAACACGAGCTGTGCGGCGGACGCGACCGGCACCGGCCGCTCACACAGACGGCCTGGTGCGGCCTCGCTGCGCTGCCAGGCAGTGGGCAAGGCTTCTGGTTTCCAAACACCTAAAATAGTTGCTTTGGATGGCTTCTTCCTATGAGCGTATTGGATATTCGTTGCAAGCCTTCTCGACGTCAAATGACCATGAGATCAAATGATAGCATCAATTCGTTACCAACCGGTGCGTATTCCAGCGCCATTTCTTCGCAACTGATTCTGTTTTTGGCCACAACGGTGACGCATTTTCAGTCTTCTTCGCCGCGCAACTAATTTAAGCCGCCGGCGTGGCGATCGATTTAGACGTCATCGCTGCGAAGGCCACCTTCCGGCCACCGACGCGCCAGCTTCCGAACTGGTAACCGTGTGCATTACACGACAAACCCGAGAGTTCAAACCAAACATACCAGAATGCATCCAGCTGGAAATAATCGTTCCCTACGAAAACGGTCATGCGCTACCCCCAGCGCAATTCGTGTGCAATTCTTCCCGATCTGCGCAGTCATGCTGCACTGAGACGATCGATGGTAACCACAACGAGCGCACATGGGTGGGCAGGCGAGAACATCGCCGACCACACGCGTGGGCGTGTGGCTCGCCTCTCAGCTCTGGTTCGAGCCTTTGAACGCCGCACCGCACACTCCTGGCTGCCGCTCCAAGCGCTACCGCTGTGCAGCAGCGCGCCTCTCCCCTGACCAGCCTGAGGCCGCCCCTCCCCCGGTCCCGCCACACGCCCCCGTCAGGACTGACCTGAGTCGCTCCTTGGCGCGCAGCGTGCTGCACTGCACGAACGGCTCGGTGCTCTGCCAGTTCCAGAAGTACAGGTGATTGCCGGTGGCGATGACCAGCACGTGGTCCACCGGGTGGAAGGCGAGCGAGGCGATCACGTGCGTGGCGTCCGCCTGCCAGCGCTCGCTGCCGCCCTGCGGACCCGGCGCAGAGGGGCCGACGCGTCACGCACGGCGCGCGGAGACGACAGCCCCGTGTGGGGGCCCGCTGCTGGCGCCGCCACACACCCGGCCGCCACGCCGAGCTCAGCCCGTAGTCAGGGGCAGGAGCGTGCAAATGAACACATGGTATAGGCGCAGTTGGCTGGCAAACGATTCCTGTATCTGTTGCTGCCCAGCCTGGACAATTCACCAACATTTACATTCCTCTAGTTTATTGAATCGCTAGGTTACTTTCACGCTTATTTTAACGATAACAATGTCTACCTGACTATAATCCTACTGGGATCTGGAAAGCTCCCTCAGGTTTTCCAGCTGTAGGTTCTGAGCCGTTTGCAGTGCAGCGCCAGAGACTGGTGACCTCCATTAGCCCCTTAGGACGTACATGACGAAACTTAGGACCACCACTCAGCCCTCGCTCGACCCACGTCTCTCCCCCGCCGGCGTCGACTCACGTGCAGGTCCCAGACGCGAACCTGTCCGCCCAGGCAGCCGGACGCGATCAGCTGGCTGTTGGTGGGGTGGAACGCCACACACCAGGGGCTGCGCGGATGGCCGCGCAGCGTGTTGAGCAGCGCGCCGCTCTCCATGTCCGTCACGTATATGTTGTGGTCACCGTGCGTGGAGGCGATCCGGCTGCTGGCGGACGGGAGGCAGCGGTGAGACGGCGGTGAGAGGGCGGTGAGAGGGCGGCGAGACGGTGGTGAGAAGGCGGCGAGACGGTGGTGAGCAGGTGGCGAGACGACGGTGAGAAGGTGACGAGAAGGCCGTGAGAGGTGGTGAGACGGCCGCACGCCGCCCTTCCAAAGAGGAGCTAAAGCGGCAACGAGCGGTGAGAGGACCAGCGGACGGGAGCGACGGCGCGTGGAGCAGGTTCTTGTCTGAGTGTGCTCTGATGAAGTTGGCTGAGGGCTCAGATGTGACAAAGCAGCGCACGCTGCCTGGGCGGAGGCGGCCGGGTCGAGGCTGGGAGCACTGGCGGTGTACACCGAAAAGCACGAGCGTTACACCGGCAGGGCAGCAACGCACCCCTGTCTTGCGTGCTCCTGTCGTGGCGCATCAGTGCAAGCACAGTCACTGCGCCTTTTCCGCGTCGGAGGTTCTCGGACAAACAGTGGGATCACCGAGAACACAGTACGGACCGAGATCGCGTCCTTGGCGCTGCAGAGCCATTCAGGAAAGGTCAATCTACACGAAACGAAAATAACTATAAAAGAAACAGAAAAAACTCATACAAAAACGTAACAAAAGAATGGGGCACAGACGGATTCGTGTCACCGCGCTTATAAGTCACGTACCGGTGACACTGTGCAGTGACAAGCGATCAAGCGAGCTCACACTCTGGCATGTGTTTACCCTCAACGGCGTACGACAAATTGGTCGCCATCGCTGTCTAAGCGTCACACATTCCCCGTTCTCCTTCGTCGCACTCACCACTTCCTCGGTATCCAAACACCGAGGCGCATCGACACTCATGCACATACTAGCACCACTATGCGTAACACGAACAGTCCGTGCTTAATCTTGAGGATCCCGACTGCTCGGCTTAGTAGTGGTCCCAGAAATAAACCTGTATAACCACAGAGACAAACGCAGTACCTCGGCTAAGCTGTTGTTACGTCCCCCAGTCTTGCAGCCTTCAAGCTGCGCTCACGAGACCCGCGCCTCATCCCGCCCGAGCAGAGTCGCTTCCAACCCACCTCAACCATCCACTTAAAGTACGCACATGCGCCACTCTGTACACAGGCTACTCCTACTGGCTCCAAACCCAGAGCACGACCTGGGGCAGACTCCGATCCCGCCCCACGGACAGGTGGCTTAAACCCCGAATCAATTCCGACCACGCCCATCGCGGTGGCGACGGCTTAAGGAAGCATAATAATTCCTAGGTTTCTTAAAACCTGCTAGAGCGTCAATTTTAATCATATAACCACTTTGTTCACCGCAGCGCACATTCGCTGCACTCAACTATTAAGGTGTGAATACAATATATATATATATATATATATATATATATATATATATATATTGTTGCTTAAATCTGTCAACTTACCAATGATTCCCACCCTTTGACAACTTGACTGCATCCCTAAATCATAAGTTTTCAGAAGAATCAACTTTACCCTCCTTGGACCAAAGTTCCGCTGACTCCAGGGGCGACTCCAACACCATCCGGCGTCATGCACATGTCGTTCGCCACGTGGTCCTGAGCCTGTCCTTGTCCCCTGCCCCTGCTGGCCGCTGGATGTGCCCAGCTCTCGTCCCCAGCACTCACCCGTCACCACTAAACGCCATCAGGAAGGTGGACTTGGCGCTGGCCGGGATCTGGCAGGGCTGAAACGGGGCGGCGCCGGCCGGTCAGCGGCGCTGCTGTCTCCAGCACCAGAGCTCAGGACAGCTCATCTACCCAACAGGCACACAGCCTAACGATCGAGTAGGTCCGCGACATGGCAATGCCCTTAACATTAAGCAACCAACAGCCGCCTACGGACACGACAATGTGGCGTTCTGCAAGGCGATCTTGGCATTAAATACGAGAGATCAATGTGGTGGCAATAATTGCAAACCACTCAATGGTGTGAGCAGTTCAAGAACAACTGCTGATTAAAGTTCCCTTGATGCTTCACATATGGTGTGGGGTTCAGCCAATGGCCACAACTGATAAACCTATATGTCTCTGCATTGGACTAGAACCACTCATTGGCTGTTTCAGACAAAGGCACTTGTCTGTATCAAAAAAGAATTGGGTTCTTACCTAATTTTCAAAAAAAATACAGTTGCCTAATGCATCACAAACCACTCGTTTTGATCAAACAATTCTGAGACACGAACACAAATTATTTTGTTGAAAAGAATACTACGTCTGTAAAGCAGCATGAGACGGACCACAGCGCGCCGCCATCACCCCCAGCAGTGCATCACAAGAGCGCACGCGCGCGCCGGCTTCACGTGCGCACCTTCTCCTGCAGCGGCTGGGTGACCAGCTTGTCCTCGTGCGCGTCGAGCAGGCGCCGCTCGGGCGGCGGGCGGCGCCGCGGCTGGCCACCGCCCAGTGCCCGGTCACTGATGGCCTGCGGGAGGGGGGCGGCCGGCGCGGCCGGCGCGGCCGGCTCGGCCCGCTTCTCGTCGGCCAGGTGGCCCTGCAGCAGCGACATGGCTCGGCTCGCCGGCCGCCGCCGGGACTCGGGCCGGGGGTCACGGGCGGCGCTCCACCCGCACCTGGCCTTGTGACGTTCGCTCGCTGTGATCACGTGCTGTTGTGATCAGGTGCATCAGCTGTGGAGAAGGACAAGTGCGTCATGTGTGTGTCAAGTGTGTCATGTGGATCGCCAGAGCCCGACTTTCAATTCGAATTTGAGCATTGCCTGAACCTGCATGCCTATTGCAGGTACAGGATAACAATAACAGTGGAGAAGGAACTCAGAAGTTGTAAACACACTGAAAGAGTGTGCACCACACATACTACAAGTGTGCCAAATCATACCACCTGTCAAGTAAGCATTGTAAAATAGGTCGCAATTTGAACTTTTGAAATGTGAACTATATTTTTGCATATCCCTTATTTAACGAAGGAGGCCTGTTCCCATGAACACAGAATGGAACTTCATGAGAGCAGACCACAGGCAAAAGACTGTCCCTTGATGGGAAAACATGTGACATGAGTAGCTAATTCAATTTTGTATGTTCTGTTTTAATGCTAAACAGCTCCCATTTGTCATCTAGATATTTTGGTCCCCTTCGATCATAAACCACAAAGCAAGTCATTTTTACTTGTAGACATGTGCTGGATCCCAAGGGTTGATCCAGAATATCATATGGATATATGCTGATGGAATCCTAGGATCTTCTTTGAGCTTCAGTCACAAGTATGCCTGCTTGCTAGTAAACAACTTACTTTCACATTTTTTAAATTTTCTTCAGCTCTAAAAGCATCACACCAAATGACTTAAATTGCCTAGCTCAATTAATTACTAAAAATTCATCACAAATTTGATCATCCTTGCGACCTCACAATGCGCCCACAGCTGAAGCTGTATGACATCACCTGCAACCACATGTCATCCAGGTAGGAAGGGCAGGCACCACAAGAATCAAAACTTGTACCACCAGTTTCTAAGATGTCCAGCTAAACCACTGCAACACCAAAGCCCTATGTACAAATTTGTGTTATGATTTGACAGTCACCAAATCACATGCACTATAGTGTCACCTTATAATGCATGCCATCTACACATCATGTGGCCCAACCTGAATAAACTTGTTTCCTCCCAGTGTAGACCAGATGATACTAGAATGTTCAGGGTCAAAGGCACCCAGACAAGCCCCATTTTTAATACTGCATGGTCAGGAACCAATATGCTCTAATGAGGCACTGCTTAGTTATTATATACCCACTCTTTCTACAATGCATACTTGATCAAAAAAGCACTTTAAAAAGATTATCTAAACTCAGCAAAGTTACAGAATTAGGTCAATCACATCATGCCCAGCACTCATGCACTATTTTTGAAGTCAGATTCATCTCCTTTGTTTTCTACCACATACTTGCACTTGTTATACTAGGGTTAAAGTTTGAATAAAATACTTTGGTGACAACTTATATTGTACATAACTTTACACTATAGCTAAATTATAATGCTCTCTGTTTAGTTTTAAAAAATTTGTCAATTGTTATCTCTTTCTGCAAGTCCTACATGTTGGGCATAAACAAAAATGTCAGTATTGCATATCATAGCTGAAACAACTGATCTTAACTATAACTAAACAGCAAAACAGACTCAACAAAACTCATGGTACAGTACCTACATCTCACCAGATTTGCAATAAAGCAGCTCAAAAATGCCTAGCTGATATAGCACTGCACTTATATGCATAGATGAATTAGGACACAAGAAGCTGGTGGCAATCAGATTGCAAAAATTGCATGTTACACTGGAAGCACCCAATCTCTGAACATTTCTAGTGTAGTAACAGGGTCCCAGTAGCAAATTCAGCTTATGCATGCTGTTAACTCAATAACTGAGGGCTTTCAAAGCTTGGTGAGGTCATTACCCATTTCAGTGCATAAAGCTTATGTTACAAGGAGTTACTTGTGCTTTAAATGCAATTTTGGGCACTTTATTTACCAAATAAACTACATTCTTGGATGTGCAGCACCTTAAATTTTAATGTTTATACTGCTATCCTCATATCTCAGACGCATGTGGTACCTGCATGAACTTCACCAAAACATCAGCTTATTATTGAGCCAATTTACATGAGGTACGCCACCTGCAACAGCTAAAGTATAGAGATGACTTCCAGAAACTGGAAATGCAAAACAAACAGTTCCCCTTGTACTTTAAGAAAATAAGTGAGCACCAAAATCTGATTTGTCACTAGACAAACTGATATGTCTGAGTGTTTCAGGTTAGGTATGTAGATGTGGCCACAACTTGACTGCATTGAGGGACTGTTAAACAAAACTGCATCATCACATTCACACAAGGTGCACAGAAGTCACATACTTGTCTAGGCAACAGCCACTAGAACTCTTGATTGTTCAATGGCGACTGTAATTATAACAAAGCAAAAGCCACGCAAATGTCCTCTATTTGCATTTTCTTCAACAACACTCCAAGCCCCTGCCAACCTCAACTGCCTGGCTTCAAGATGAAAGACCCACAAATAAGCCTTTCAAACAAATCTTAGAGCATATGAATGCGTTTACGTAATAATCGAAACGTATTTACCCTACCAAACACGCTCACCTACGACGCCATCCACCCAAAACGATAATAATCTTGGGGGAACCGAAAGATGACAGAAGTAGCGCAGAGACGCGAGTGACGCATAGTGGTAGGTGATTGTGTTCGCTTTAGGGAAAATCCCAGTTCGTTTCTCCAGCGTCCTGTACTGTCATTGGTGCATATTTCTATTCTTAACAGGTTATTGGTCAAAAGCTCCGAACTACCGAGCCAGCTGATCACATCAAACGCGCCAGGATGTGAACGTTCGTGCTGACGACAGCGATTAGTGGTTTGTCCATTGACGTCATTGGGCATTGCGGGTGAGGTATCTCGATGTCGCGATATGGAGTAAAACATAGACACAAAGGTTATGTTTATGTAGGACTTGCTAGGCAAACAAAGTAGTTAAACTTCCTCTCCGATTTTCCTGGACTAGGATTTTGTGCTCTACTGCATCCTAAATATGCACGTTTTGACATTTTCCCACTCAAAATGGCATTTTCAGGTGGGGCTGTTTCCGCCATATTTCCCCGGTATATCAAACCTAGATTATCGTCAGCACGAGGACTCTAAACTCTTAATGCTGGAAAAACAGGAGATGAAGGTTTTCTTGCTACACTAGCTATGGCAGTGGAAACACAAGATGGGTACGCTGTAGTTGGCGGCAGGAGGAAGGGTGACGGGTGGTCGTATAATCCGAAAGCTTTGTTCGTAGCTCACATTTCACGGACGCATGCTCTCGGAAACAGGTTTTTACGCAACTTCAGAACAAGGGGCAGTGGGATTGTGCCAGCATCACACCATTTCGTTTCCTAATAAACGTATTTGTCTCCTCAGTTTGCCCCCCCCCCCCCCCCCATCCCTGGTGCAGTAACGCAGTGACCATCTATCACCTCCTGACCGCCCATGTTAAATAGTCCTGCTAAACAAAAGCCGCTGAGCTGAAACTACGCCACAACTCCGTCAATCAAAATCTTAAGTGGTGCCACCTCGAGCACTTAGGACACCCCGTGTTCTCTGTCAACCTTCGATGCATAGATGATGCTCTGGAGTCCTGAAGGGCGTCAAGCAGATCGCAGTGCACACCCTGGCACCCACCCCTCGTCATGCTGGGCAGGGTGTCACCCGTTGTCCCGGACCGTATCTGGCCGGCGCCGCGCCGGAGTCCCCGGCGGTTCTCTCGCGCGGTCGGTCGCCCTGCGTCTCGGACAGCCCGCGGCGCCCGAACGTTGCCCCACGTGTGTTGACCGCACATGATGGCGGCCGCGCACGAGAAGCGCCAGTGGAAGGCAAAGACGAATGCGCTGTTGGAAGTGGTCAGTTCAGACGAACTGAGCGTCGGAGTCGAACACTACACATGACACAGGTAGTCGCGTACATTTCCAGCAAAAGTACAGCACAAAATACGAACATAACGAGTCCCTTTCAACACGTGGCGGATAAAGCCCTGACGGCAGTTAAATGTCAAAATCTACATCTGCATATAATCATCTGGTCGTTCTCCGTGGAACAGCAGCCATCACAACAAGCGCATAACCACTTATATCACGAGCCGAGACCCCAGCTGGTAGGGTCCAAACCCACGTACTTCATACCATCAGGCCCGGCTCGAACCCGCGGCCAGTGGTGCGACCCAGCTGTACCCCTCCGCCCGCCAGGCCAGCGGGCCGGGCGGACGCGTGACGTCACAGCTCCGCAGCCCACTACCGGCCCGGTCCCAGCCATCCGGCGGCCACCCGTATGGACGGCGCGCTCCCTCCACGCTCACGCGCGCCGACCGCATCTGACACGAGTCTGGCCACAGGAACGGGACCATCCCGAGAAGCACCGCCGGAGGCTTGGGACGGGTCCCGGCGCCGGCGGCGCCCGCAGCGCGTCACAACAGCGCCGCGACGGCCCACGCCAGCACGCCGACGGCCCGGACGGCAGCACCGTCCGAGCATCATCACTTGGCCACCACGATCTGCAGGTACTGGAGCGCGTTGTGGGCGGCGTCGGTCTTGGCCTGCGTCGGCTGCTGGCCCGTGCCGTAGCAGACGGCCACCGGCAGCGTGGAGAGCTGCACCAGGCAGTGGTAATGATCTGGCGGCGACATGACACCGTCACAGTCCGCGGCCTCTCCCACCGCCGCCGTCAGACAGTGAGCGAACGCTCCATGCCCACACATTCGACTGGTCTGACTGGCTTTCGTCGTCACCGAGCTAACGTACGCGATCGCACACACGGAATGACTGATGCGTCTGCATAGTGAACCGGGGCGCTGTCCGCGTGGCGGCTTTGTGTCCCAGAGGATGCCACTGGCCGAGGTCACCACGTGCCCCATACTCACCGGTTGTCGTCTTCTCTTCAACGTCCACCCAGGTCACGTCGAAGTTCTGCTCCTGGGCTATCTCCTGAAGCAATCTCACGGAGTCTACCGACCCGGCGTCCAGGTCCAGCTTCTGCGGCACAGTTCAGAGCCAAGTCAAACCTCTCCACTAGGAGCACTTCATCAGTCCTGTAACGCTCAGCCTGCGCATTCGCCACACTCACAGTACACGACGACTGGAACCCAATGCCCGACCTGTACCTGGGACGGTCAGGCGGCTCTGCGATGACTCAAGTGACTCCAGGATAGCTTGGAAATGACTGTGACGATTCCGATGACCTACGTAACGACTTCAGAGCACTATATGACGACTGTGATGACCCTGTGACGACTCCGTGATAACTGACGGCCCTGTGATAACTCTGTGATAATTCCCGATCGGTAACTCATCCACCACCCGCTGACAGGTAGTCCAGGCGACTCGGTGGCGACCGTGAAAAAGGCGGACATGACCTGTAGCTCTGTGATGCGCTGGCCGGACTGATCTGCAGCTCTGTGACGAGCTGGACGGACTGACCTGCAGCTCTGTGATGAGCTGGCCGGACTGACCTGCAGCTCTGTGACGAGCTGGACGGACTGACCTGCAGCTTTGTGATGAGCTGGCCGGACTGACCTGCAGCTCTGTGACGAGCTGGACGGACTGACCTGCAGCTCTGTGATGAGCTGGCCGGACTGACCTGCAGCTCTGTGACGAGCTGGACGGACTGACCTGCAGCTTTGTGATGAGCTGGTCGGACTGACCTGCAGCTCTGTGACGAGATAGCCGGGCTGACCTGCAGCTCTGTGACGCGGACTGACCTGCAGCTCTGTGACGAGCTGGCCGGACTGACCTGCAGCTCTGTGATGAGCTGGCCGCAGGAGGCCTTGAGGCTGCAGTGGAACTGGCTGACCCGCAGACCGCTCTGTGACGCCGCCTTCGGTGCCCAGCTGTCCCGCAGGCCCGAGTAATGCGCCGTCATCTTCTGCGCGATCTGGCAGGACGCGACAGCTAAGGTCAGCTCAGGAGAAGGTACGTACATAACAAACGTCACATGATGACCTGGTCTCCCGCCGACTATGTAGCCGGCCGCATCCGCATGGTACCCGACCCGAAATGGACAGCTCTGGTGTGACTCTGGTGTGACAACTCAATGTAGCTCTGACAGCTCTGGTGTGACACTGGTGACAGCTCAATGTAGCTCTGGCAGCTCTGGTGTGACTCTGGTGTGACAGCTCAATGTAGCTCTGACAGCTCTGGTGTGACACTGGTGTGACAGCTCAACATAGCTCTGACAGGTCTGGTGTGACCACCTCTCCGCCTCCCCCTCCCCCCCCCCCCCCCCCCAGATGGATACCCACCACACGGCCGCCCCGGCCGTTTGCACGACGGGACAGCTCCACACGACCAGACCGCCCCTGAGGAGCACCAGCGGCGGCGGCTGCACCCCGCCCACAAACCTGGTCGTCGTCGTTGTCCATGATGCTGACGCCGTCCTCCGGCGAGTTGTCCCGCAGCTTGGTCAGCATGAGGCTGGAGGCCTGCCGCTTGGCGATCTTCTTGGACTTGCCCACACCTGCAGTGTGTCGTCCGGTCAGCTATTTCTGTATTTCTGGAGTGCAGCAACGCATGCCATCCATCCCGCTCGCGCACCAACTTCCCTCAAACCTGGCGCAATATCCAATCGGTGTCTTTCAGCGCACGTCCAACGAGCAATCAAACGTTAACGCGAGGCATCGCCGTGGCCCGGCAGAGTAGGCCCCGCCGCCCGCTGGTGCTCACCGATCTCCTTGTTGTTGGTGCCGATGCAGCAGGCGATGGTGAAGGTGCGCTCATGCGGCAGGCCCTCCTCGCGCACCAGCTCGTAGGTGGGCGGCGGCCAGCGGCGCGACATACACAGCTCCTGCAGCTGGCCCACCGGGTTGCCTGGAATACCGTCGTCATAGGGCAGCACCAGCTGGGGGGCAGGCGGCGGCGGCAGTGCCGGTGGCGCCGGCGAAGCTGTCGCTGCTGCTGTTGCCGGCGCCGGCGCAGGCAGCGCCAACGGCGGCACCACCGGCGCCGACGCCCGCTGACCCAGCAGCTGGTCCAGCACGGCGCGCGCCGCCATGTGCTTGGCCTTCTTCTTGCTCTGGCCGAGACCGCTGGCCACCACCTCGCCGACGGTGGCTCGGTACAGGAAGGTCGGCTCGTGCACGGCGCCCTCCACCTGCGGGCCAGGTCCGGGCAGACGCTCAGCAGCCGCACCACACATAGACAGCTCAGCAGACCGTCATGGCAGGTTCCGAATGAGTGGGGGAGAGGCACCAACAAACAGCAGTCAACTGGGTACGGACTGTTAACATTTCGTACGGAATAGGCCCTTGGATTTTTACCTGTTGTTATGTCAGAATAAATTTTCTGAAAGGCAGACAACCAGCAACCACAAGTATTCCACAAAGTTCACCACCGAAACCGCTATCTAAATCGACACAACGTGCTACGGGGCACCGTCAAACTTATCACTACGCTCCTCAGGATCGTCACCAAATCAATCCGCGCACAACAGCTGGGTTTGGAAATGGCAGAGACGTCAATACGAGCAGGCGTTGCCCCGCTCCGCCTCAGTGCACGACGTGCGCCGAGACTGCCGACGGACGGAGCCCGGATCCTGGACTGCTGCCAACATTCGGCTCCAGGGACATTCCACAGGCTTGTGTTGCACAGGTTGATCCAGAGATATTATGGGCGGCCCGGGTGACGCCAGAGGTTCATGGAGACCTCAGAACCGCGCGGACGACGGAGGACACGGACAGGCCCGAGGACACCGGAAAGTACGGAACAAGTGAATGGAGGCCAGCGGCTCCAAGTCGCTGACAACCATGCGATAAGCTAGAGGACATGCAAGGACACTGACCATGCAAGAGGACAAAGAAAGACATGGGAGACGTTGGGTGCCGTGGAAAGGACCCCTGCACGGCAGAGGACAACGACAGACTATGGGAATATTGCAGAACACGGACAGATACCGATTACGTTAAAGAATGCGACAGCCCAGGGAATCAAAAGGACACGGATAAATTCACCATAGATATGACACGGCATGGTCTCTGCTGGGGTAGGACTATCCAGCTGAATTTATGGCCGCGTTTCATTTCAACTACCGTGTTATTGGTAGATAAACACAAGCCCCGCCCACTCGAATGCTAGGCCGTTTCATACCACCTATTGACTACTGGAAAGCGTTACATTAGCCGCGCATTTGTGCCTATCAAATTTGGGAAGAAAAATAAGTCTGTGAGCTTAGCAGCAGTCACCTATCATCAAGTCGCAAGCTTAAAAATATTAATGCCCCGCTAAATCCCTAGTAGCTCGCACATCAACTAAAAAAGACAAAGTACTAACATGATGTCGCCTGCGCCGCGCGCCGCCATGTTCATGGACGCCCCGCCGACTACCGAGATGTTAAAACGTTCTGCCAGCCCAGTAGTCGACAAGTGTGACGTCACACCCTCCGCGTCACGAACCATCATGGCCGCCCGACCAACCATAGAACAGGGTTTCGACTATTGGTAGCACGCTAGTTACGACGAAACGGGGCCTATGCTACCAGTCCAACTTCTTGGCTGGGACCTGTCAAACTAACTTCATCCAGGAATAAAACGCCAGCCACAATCATTACACCCAAACGCTTAGGCACACCGGATAGGAGAAAATATCGCCGGTGGGAGCAGTCCGATTTCACTTCGCCGCCGAGTCATACCACATAACGCTAGCCCCGGCGCCGACCCGGTGCGTGTTCGCCCCGCGCCGGACGCGGCCACCCCCATCTGAGCTGAGAACGTGTGACCTCTCCGCTCCCGGGGCACGGCTGCCGACCGTTGGTTCAGAGTGGGCCGCGGCTGTCCACAGTAGCCACCCTCACATCGCGAACGGGTGGTGCTGGGGACGTGGGGCGGTGACTTGGAGCTACTCATGCCAGAGCCCCTTTTCTTGACAGTGTCATCTACCGCCTCTCGCATATCATGTTGCCTGTTAGGCGAGCCAGTGCATTTCCACCTAGGGTTTCAATTTCACGAAGCACGCACTTGACTAAAACGACAGAGGAAACCTACACGATGCAATTTTAAGTATGAGCGCCCACAGTTCGCCACGTTTTCCAATACACACTCGTCGCGCGTTGCAATGCACTCGGTGGAAACGCGTCCCATGTCACATTTCTCCGTTTGTGTCAGTTTGTTTTAATGCAACGCGCCCGCGTTCATCGCCAAACTACTTCTACCGCCCGTGTCATAAGCGCCCATTCACGTCGAAGCCCCAAACTCTCGGCATAGTTCGGAGTTTACTCTCAAACAACTGCATACAATATCCTATGTTTTGGAGAAACCCTGGCTGACAATTTAGAGTGATCATGAATCATCAACAGATGGGCGGATGCGTATGGTGTCGTTATGCGATAAGGACGCTACTATGAGTATGACAGGGAATAAAGTGCACAGGGTAAGAAATAGGGATGGCAGTTGGACGATCATGTTACTTGGTTTTTGGTGATGTGGCGTCATCAAAAAGAACTGAAAGGCTGAAGCCGGTCGCCATGAAGAATGAAGAAAAGGCCAAGGGAGGAGCACTCGTTGCTGAAATCTGGAAAGTGGTACTTGACCAGAAATCTCATGTTCCTCAGAAGTTTTGTAGTTCCCTAAACAGCTTAGGGATCCTGAATAGATAAAATCTTACCAATACCACCTAACACTAAAAATGAAAGTGGACAACTGACCCAGAAGCCTCGAGCCCCTAACATTGTCTAAATGCATAAAACACCGCAATGCCCCACAGTGTGCCCTAGCGGCGTGCCCCGCCGACGCGGTTCGCCCTCGGCCGCGACGCGGCACCATCCAGGTGTCACCCACCTGGAGCAGGTCATATTTGGGCGTGGAGCCTTGCTTTGCAGCCATCTCCTGCAGCAGCGAGACGGGCGTCTTGGGCGCCACGCCCGGCGTCACCAGGTCCAGGGTCTGCAACATCAAGACACAGGCACGTCAGCGTCTAGTGCGACGGCTAGGTGACAAATCATGACATGAGCATGAATGGATGCGATGGATGCACGCATGCGTAAATTACACGTTATGACATTCGATAATGCGGGCACTCACTGTCGTACGTTCTTCTAGGGCCTGGCATCAGTTTGCAATGTGGCCAGCTTCCATGTCAGCTTTGCATCACATAAACAAAGCATGGCGTTTAACTATGCTGTTTTGGTTTTACGGAGGTGTTAAAGGTTTTTGTCTTCACGCACTAAAGGTTGCTCAAAAAAGAACAGTTGATGTTTCCTTCCCTTCCATAGTTCGTCCAAGTAGCACAGATGGTAAGAGCGCTTGAATTCCGATTCGCCTAATGTTGGAGGAGAGGGTTCGAGTCGCATTACGCGCTCATCATTTGGCCTCGGCTGGCACGGACTGCCGCCGGTAACGGCGGATGCGAGAAAGGCCAGGTGACGTGGGGTAGAACGAGCAGTACAAAGCGTCGTGGCAAGTTAAACTTTTGCTGACAAACTATACTATCGATTCGGATTTACGTGACCGAATGACGATGTCGGAGCGCACGCAACAAGCGTCACTAGCGTGGGCGCCGACCCCAGAACTACATCCGATCAAAAGGTCAACACTGGGCTTAAAAAATAGAGCGACAGATCGCTCTGCTTTTACTTTGCACTTTTTGCAAACTTATGTCCGAATGGCGATGTATGCCCACCACCCATTCGCCTGATGTGCGAACAGAACCGAGCGCGCAGCGGCCTCTTCAGCTCACTTCGATTTCGGTAAATCTTCATTAATACACCGTCGAGCGAATGGGCTGGCCATCAATCACTCCGCCCCTCTGACCTGTCTACTGCCGCAGGCATGCACCAGGATCAGGACTGTTCCGCACCGCAGCTTTGTGCTGTGTTACAGCCTAAGATTTCAGAATTGACGTGCGAGAAACAAGATGCACTGGAGTGAGAAGGGACTTTGTTTTTACTGTAATTGTACCTAGGCGGGCGCCATTGAGGACCGTAGCAACATGGCTCAGCCGCTGCAAACAAGGGCTGTTCAGGGGCCCAGGATATATGCATGAGCTTGTGTGCATGCATTGGAGGCGACCACAGCAGAACAAGACAGTGAAGGTTATACCACTGCTCTCCCTCTCCCATCTGCCGATGTTGGGGAGAAAAACAACTTGTGGCCTGTGGCATTCTGAGCAAACCACACCATTGCAATTCATGGGACACTTGCTCTGGGAAAGGCCTACACAGTGTCTCCTAAGGCTGCAGAACAGCTGGCTTGCTGATGAGAGCATGCAATTTGCCCACTATCACACATCTGAGAGGACTTCACTGCAGCTATCGCACCCTGTCCATTAACCTTGAGCTCACTGACCATGATGATCATTGTTATGGGATGTTGATGTGGTCAGTACTCCATTCCGCTTGTGTTCAACCTATGTGTTGGCATCATGTTCCACTGTACTAGGCACTGTTGTGAACTCAGCAGCTTTCAAGGAAAGAAGAAACTACACCTGAATTGTCCTGCTCTGTCACACTTAATGCTTCCACCAGTTTGAAATGCCTTAGTCAAGACTGCAGGGAGAACTTCCTGGTTTTGAAATGAACTATACACAATAAGTTAAAAAGCAGCATTTCATCCCATTGATCATCCATTGTGCTGCCAAAAACAAAACTAATCTAAAACTGCATACATCAATGGAAAATTGTCATGTTGTTCCTGATGATTCACATTTGAACAGGTCACAAAAGCATTTCAAAGAAACAGCACAACACAACATTTCAAACCCTAGGTGCCATACAACACACTCCAAAAACCCCAAAACATAGTGATTGTGAAAACAAAAGTCACATGAAGTTTAAGCAGCCTTGTTTGAATTTGACCAACTGATTTTGTCTAGAGCTGAAAATTATTACATAGGTAATCCTGATTCATGTTCCCAAAATTGATTTAAAATGAAACACAGGAACAAAGATGCCAGATATAAAGAAATGCTGAGATTTCACATAAGACAGCATAGATATTCGAGACACAAGGAAGGAAAAACATTATTTCATCATGATTTACACATAGTTTTCAACCCGGCACACCAAATAAGACAATATAAAATTATTGATTTTTTCCACACTTCATCACACATCCATCAGCAATGCTTACCACGCATTGTGTGGCCCCGGCCTCATCATTCTCTGACACACCATTACCAATCATATTCACCGCTGGCTGAAGCCAACAAGTGCAACCAATGATTCTACCCAAGGCCTCCTATTTCGTCACATGATACAAATCCTCATCCCTGCTGTCAACACACCATCCCATTGGACAACAGCAGACGAATTTCGTATCACACCAAGGTTGCATAAAAGCGGAAAAATGGGTTGATGATTCTGGTGCTGTCCTCGCTTTACGTTACGTTTGCATGATGTCAGTGGTGCAAAGACTTTAATGGGCCGAGGATTGTCATGCGCGGTACGTATTTTGTGCTGCGTAATCCGAAAATAGCGAGCAAATTGCTCGCGGAAGGTGCGCTTAAATGGCGAGCTACGGGTGTGATGTGCTTTCAATAACGAGAGAAGTTCTGCAGGATTAGGGGGGTAGGGGGGGGGCTCAAAGACGCTTCGAGTACTCAAAGTACTCTAAGGAATAGACAACTTTGTCTCTTTTCACGAACTGTCATAAGCTTAGAGCTAATTATCGCAAATGTTTGGGGCTCGACCCCCCCCCCCCCTCCCCTCTTAACGCAATAGTTCCGCACCTCAGGGAAACCGCTCTTCAGAAGTGAAAACGCACATACGGGGATTACTCGAGACGGGCGGCTCGAACAACTGTCTGCTTTCGCACCGATAGTGATCGCACTGTTAGTGACAGATATGCAGGGCCACCGAGTCGATCGCGTATGAGCTGAAAACGAGGCATGGTGCTGACCTTTGCAACCCTTGCGGCGAACCACTACGACGTGTTTCGATTTTATGCGGCAACATGTCGCATCGCCGTGCCTCTGCCGACTGCGCGAGTGAGTGGCGAGTCTGCTGTCTGCTCCAGCTAACTTGCTGGCGCCAGATACATTGTCAGTATTGTCAAGATGCGAGACCAGAGGCTTAACGGTTGACTTCACCCATGCAGTCACCGCAATCGTTCATGCCTGGATTTTGGAATAACCGTGCTCGTTATATACCTGTCCACATGGCCGCCGTGCTTGGTCTGTGCCTGTCTGCATATTGCCGTGCTCCGCCTATCTGTACCTATCCGCACAGCCGTCGTACTCGGCCCGTAGCTGATCATATTCCGCCGTACCCAGTCCGTATACCTGTGTGTGGAGCCGGCCGCGGTCCTTGGTTACCGTGTTACCTTGTTACGCAAAGTTACTTGGTTACCGTGTTACGCACAGTTACTTGGTTACCGTGTTACGCACAGTTACCGTGAATGTATGTTGCCACGTATGTTGCGTTTTTGAGGTGTTTATGTGCACCTTATAAGCGTCATGTTGGCGTTTATTTTGTACTAGCACCAACACGGCGTAAGCCTAGATAGCCAAACAGCAGTGAACGGTATTTCATATGATTGTCAAAACGCTCCAATGATTACTTCACCTTTTTCCCTGAGGCCTGAGAGTTGTTTGCATGGTTCGCCCCTTTTAAAGTCACGACGATGTGGACCCGCTGACCGGCCATGTTAATCAAAGCACGCTTCAGATTAACACGAGTTCGGGGGGGTCAAATTGACCCCCCCCCCGTAGTTGTTTCCAGAATGGCTTACGAATGGCACGGCGTAGCCGCGCCCAATTTTGCGTAGCTGTAGGCAATTCAATAGCTGATCGTTTGGCATCAAAAATTTAGATGTATCTTGTAAGGTTGCTGACCTATGGCAGGTCAAAGTCAGGCCATGGTTTCAGCGGAGGGAGGAATCCTTCAATCTCATTCAACAACGGAGTGTTAGACGAAGCCATACATCTCTGAGATGCTTTCTTATGCAACACAGCAGTTGAATGAGCATGTTACCTTGACCTAAAGTCAGGTATGAAGGTCACGCCAAGGTCCAAACCAACCTGCTTTGTTACTCTAGGGCTTGCTGTATGGGATAGTTTCTGGTGCTCATTTCGAATTTATTGATAGCAGGAACCGCATTATACATCATCCATGGACTTCTTTTATGTCAGAATAGGCCATTGACCTAAAATGACCCGGGTCAGCATTTGGTTTTAGGAACGTACTGCCTAGTGTAATCTTTGTCGCTTAGTCAAATGCAAAACTCAAAGCAATCTTGCATTATTTTGGTCACCTCGACCTCCAAAAGGTCAAAAAAGGTCACTGACCTTGGATGAGCATGTGACCTTTTGCTTAGAAACGGTTATCTAGGTTCTGGGGCACTTTGGAGCCCAACCTGGAACTTGACATTGTTTAACCGTTTTTGACCCAAAAGTCATGACCTAGGAACCTGAAACTTTGATCAAGTGAGCTCACGTACAGGTCAATACAATCTTGAATTTGATGTCTCTAGCTTCCTTAGTTCCCGAGATCTCAGGGGGGTCAAATTGACCCCCCTACCCCACCCGAGCGAAGAGTATCTAGCTTATGTCTGTCTCAACTTATGCGAGAAGGGAAACTGGATATACAAAAGGTGTTTATAAAAAAGGATGTACATAAAAGGATGTACATATAAAAGGATACACAAAAGGTTTGGGCCACGTATATCAACGGACAGGGTATGTTAGAAAGCTTGCCAAGTTATTGCTTTAGTCGGCAAATTGGCATAAGCGCGTAAGTGAAAATGGGTGGCCTCCAGCCAGCCCAACAGCCGTGTTTTTACGCATCACCTCTTGCTGACGTTTCGCGAAAACGGCAGTGTTAGGAAAAACAATCAGTCGCGATATGCGAATGCATTTTAATTTAAATAGCCGCACAAACGTAGATTAAACATCGGCTCAAAACCATGCGCTTGAGGCAAGAAACGCTGGTAACATCAACGACAAACGATAGCAGTTGTGTGTGTCTCCAAACACCGTCACCACTATCGAAAACATCATTCCGCTTTGACACTAACGCGGTCATGTTCTGGCGGTGTCGCATTCTTGTGAACATGTACCCTTGGGGTACGTGCCGTTCCACCGCTGCAGACGTCACCTGTGTCGCGAGCTGTACGTCTCTCCTCGCCACACAGCCTGTGCATGCACAGGGTACGGGACATCGCATTACCAGCACACTACAGGCGTTGGACTCAAGAACGCAGCGAGTGGCGGCTCAGTTCAATACACTTACGATAGATCGGTAACATCGGTGTAGTTGATGACGTCATAAATGATGTCGGAAACTGGTAACACCGTACCTCTTCCCTTTCCTGAGCTCGGCGGCGAGCAATCTCAGCCGTGGGTTCTTGACGGATTTCCTCGGTGGGATTGACGAGCACGGAAAGAAGCATGAATTCTGGGTGAGGTTAGTAGCCATTCCGCTGGATGATCGGCCGGACCATGCGTCGGAACGCCTCGGCCGCGCTGGAGCACAGTCTCTGAGGAGCTACACGCCGTGGAAGATTTTTGGGAGCCTTTTACAATGTGGGCGACTATTAACCTAGCACCAGGCACTTGCGAAATGCAATATCCAACCACACGGCTATTTTTCGAGATTTAGTATCAAACGCATTGAAAAACGGCTGCAAAACTGTAGCTGGCAGCGTCCATCAACTCAGGCATTCAGCCCCGTTGCTCTGACGTATGGTCCGACCAACTATCCAGCAAAATGGCTTCTAAACTCACGCTGAGTTCATGCTTCTGGCAATACCCGCTGACTCTGCTCAGGAAATCCGTCCAGACGCCGTGACTGGGCTTGTCTGCTACCGGAATCAGGGGTGTAGCCAGGTGTAGCCATGCCAGTTGTCCGGCGTCAAATTTCGCGCGGCAACTCCGCCCATCTTATCAAGTGGTCGAAAGAGTTTATGACGAATCGTAACTCTCCGCACCACTGAGTGTCGCAGATCTGCAGAGTGCGGGTCATACGATACCGCCCATCCGGTGACAGCACACAGGTCGCAGTACGAGGAGTGCAGCCAGCACGCAGACGGGGTCTGCAGCGGTGAGGCGGGAAGGACGCTATGGGCACATATAAGTGGAAGTGCGACACCAGCGTAACATGCCCTTGTTTGAGTCAAGGCAGCGAAACAAGCAAGGCTGCATAATGTAGAACAAAAGCTCATTTTCGAGCGCTACATCGCAGCTCTGAGGCACACATGGCAGACAACTATCATCGCTCTTCGTTGTTTGTGCTTTGTTTATAATGCTTCCGATGTCATAATGTGGGAATCACCTTGTTATCACCTTCAACGCTTGAGTGATAGGCGTTTCAGGTTGTCCATGCATTAATAACAGACGACTGTTATGCTTCCAACGATAACAGTTTTTAAGGGTTTAGAGTCCTCTCGGTCAAGACTGACCATCTCAGGATTATGGGAGAGTGGAGAGGGCGAATGGTGAGACAGTCCCGTCATTCTAGGAAACCTCCGCTCACGAGGCAAGTCTCGACAGAGGAGCGCTCGCAGGTGCACGTAATCTGGCCCCACCACTCAACTCTGTCCCTGGTTCCATAGCCTGACATCGTCATTGCTTTGTGAAAGAGGTTTAATTTTGACCAAACAAAAGACGGCAGCCATCACCCGCTCTGGCCTCAATCAACCCTTCATGCTGACATCTCTCCGGTGCGAACTGCGGTTGTCAGCGTTCAGCTGGTGTTTGTGTCATGCCTGGCAGCGCGTTCGTGCGCCCCCACAAACCTCGAAGAGGGAGTCCCTCTGTGAGGTAGCCGTTCAGGGACCGTACTGTCTTCTTGAATATGAGCATAACTGTTGGAGATCAGCCAGCTCAAACTGGCCTAAAACCATCTACTTCTTTAAATGTATGCATTAAACCACCCACCGCTTTGCCCCTAATAGTTTTCAAACATTCTGTACCGAAATATGAGACTGATGATATACTCCAATAAAAATACTGTACCGCTCAGCGTGGCGGCCAGGCGCCACGCACGCTATCATAACGCCAGGCGGGTGGTGACTGGTGACTGGTGAGTCGGTGACTGGTGATGAGCCCAAGCCGCTGCGTGCGCCCGGCATACCAGTGAAACGATGGCGCCGGAACGGTATCCGACCACTGCGGCCGGAGCGAGCGCCGTAATTGTCTTGGACGATCATACTTTCTGCGCGAGCGTTGAAGCACCTTCAGCCCGCGATTTCAAATCTGAAAATGGGCTCGCTTGACGCCTCCCGTGAGGGGCCATGGGGCATTTATGACTATAAAACTCGGCGGCATTGCTCAGAGCAAGCCCATCGGCTGGCGCCCCCGGGGAAGGCCGGTCTGGAAGTTG